AAATCCCAAATACTAGTAATTTGGGATTTTGGCATCCCAAATCCCAAATGATTTGGGATTTGGGCAACACGTATAATAATGAAGAGAATAATGAAAATGATAATGAAAATTTAGAAAAAGATTCAAATATAAATATTAAAATTATACAAAATATAACTGATGTTAAAACTAGATAGAATTCAAGTTATATTTCTTGGAAAGACTTTTAGATTTACATTTAACAATTGAATGGTTGTCAAATACTTTATCTCTTGAAAGAAGTAATAATTTTAAAAAAATAGAAAAATATTAAAACAATGTTTATTAAAAAATTATGAATAGAATTTATTAAAAAAATTGTAAAATTACTGAAACAATTTAAAATAGCTACAAGATTTTTTTCAAGTATAAAATATCTTACATTATCACTTATGTATTCAACTATTCAAAAACTTAAAATTCAATATACATGTGAACCATTTCTATCATCAGAAAATGAAAATAATTTAGAATCTAATTTAGATAATAATATTTTTTTTGATTTATTTAAATTAATTATTAATTATATTAATTATTAAATATTAATAGATGACTTTTCTGAAAAAGAAAGTGATGAAGATCAAAATAATAATAATAGTGAACAATCAAAAATTATTTCAGTATCAAATCTTGATAAAATAGTACATAAGTTTAAATATAAAATTTATGATTCACTTTGGAATTATTGAGGAGAAAGCTCTGAAATTGAATTAATTGCAACATTATTTAATTCTCGATTAAAGAAAATATCTTTATTTAATGAAGATACAAGAAATTCTACAATTGAAAAATTACATATTTTATATAATGAAATTACAAATAATCAAGTCAAATTATTATCTATATCTACAACTAGAAATATTTCATTTAACTCATCTAATTAATTTATGAATTCTATTTTTGGAGAACCTGATGAAGCAGAAATTGAAGGATTAAATGAAATTGAATATTATCTTGATCTTTGTTTAACATTTACTACTGAACTAGCAGAAAATTCATGGCAATGGTAAAAAGTATTTATTAATTTCTGCTATTTCAGTACCTTCAGAATAACTTTTTAATGAAGCAGAAAATCAAATAAGTACAAAACACACAAAATTAAATTCAAAAATTATAAGAGAAATACTTTTTTTGAAAAAAATAAAAAGTATATTGATATATTTAATTATAAATAATATAATATAATATATAAAATTACAAATTTGTAATAAATATGAGTTTTTGTTAATAAAAATAATTTTTTTTTTTTTTTGTTCCAACGAGGTCTTGCCTTAAATTTATTAATTAGAAAAAGAGAAAGTTTTTTACATTATATAAGATTATATAATACAAAATATATAACTTATTCTAATGTTTATTAGAAAAGATAAAACTTGGACTAACTCATGAGAGACAGGTTCACAACCTATTACCTTGTTAATAAAAATAATAAAATAATCATTTTGACAAATTTAATATAATTAATTGACTAATTAATTAATTAATTTTTTAATCAGTTAACTAATAAATTAACTAGTTAATTAAAAAATAAATAATCAATTAACTGATTAAAGATTTTTTTGGAGGTTCCAATCTATATTACCTACAATATCTAAATAATCATTTGAATTTAATGAAAAATCTTTTTTATATATATCTGCAGATTGATATATATTTTTATCGTTATTAGAAATTTTATCAACTTATAATATTATTATATGTGATAGAGAACAAAAACATTTATGAATTAATTTTTCTAAAATTTTATTATGTATTATCATTATATTTAAATTTGTATTATATTTCAGTTTTTTGTTTATATTATCAAAAGCTAAATATTCATTAAATATTTTATCATATAATTTTAAATTTGATATGTACTTTTATTCATTTCAAAAATATGATCTAAAGTTAATTCTTTTTTATTATTTTTTTGTATTATCTATTGAAATAGGTAATTGAGTTTGAAAAGTCATTCTTAGATTTGTTTGTAAAATATTTTTAGTTACATCAAATATATTACTGTAAGTAAAAGTTTTTTGTTTAAAATCTATATTATCAATAACAACAAGATTTCAAATATTCTAAGTTTTTTGAAGTCTTAATATAGGATTTGTTTTATTTATCTTTTTTTTTTCAAAATATATTTATGATCATTACTATAAGATAAAATTTTTAAAATTGAAAGAAGTTCTATTAAATATGTTATCATTTTGAATTTTCTAGTTAAATTACTTATTACTTGAAAAAACCATATTTTAATTGAAAGAAATGTATTAAAAATTAAAATTGAAAAAAATAAAGAAACAATTTTTATTATTTAAATTAAATTACTAGATTTGATTAGTTTTTTCTTTGTGATTTTTTTTTATTTATTATTATTGATTTTTTTTTGTAAATAATAATTAAGTTACAAAAAAAACTTTTTAATCAAATAGGAAATAAAGATATATAATTATTAAGAGTTGATAGATTTTATAATACTTCACAAGATTTTACAAGTTCTTTTTTAGATTTTCAAAGCTTATTGTCAAATTCTTTTTTTAAATTTTCACAATATTTTATATTTAAATCTTCCATTAAAGTAATATTAATTTTTATTTTTTTTAATTGAAATATAATTTAAAATTGAAGTAAACTAAGAATAGATAAATTTATATCTAATAAATTAGAAGTTTGTTCTATATTTATGGAAGTAGAGGTTTGATTGGAATCAATATTTTTTTAATATATAAAATATTGAAAGTACAATTGTAGATAAAATTAAATTTTGAAATTTATTTTCATTAGAATTTCCTATATTAATTAGTCATTTTCTAATTTTTTAAGTTGTTACGAGACATCTTCTATATATTGCTAATTACAACTTGTTGATTTTTTTCCTTTTCCAGATTTAATATAATAATGCTCACTCTTTTATTCAAAATATCTAACATATATAAATTGTAGTTTATATATATTTTTTAAAATTTTTTTACATATATTATCATATTTTTTTAATCCTATACAATTGATTTATCCAATACATGGTATTAATATTATTTTATCTAAAATATTCTATGAATATTCCTTACAGTTAGTTTCTCATAAAAAATAATAATAATTATAATAGTAAAATAAATATTACCAAAATTGAATATGACTTTATTAGATATTTTCTTGTGATTTTAACTTTTATTATATATTTTTTGATCAAAATTAAAATGAGGTATATATATATCTAATCCGAATAAATTGTTATTAACTTGATTTACAATTTTATTATCAATTTTTCAAAAACCTATTAATTTGTATAATCTTTTTTTACTATTTTTACTACACGTTTAAAATTTTTCATTAATAATATCTATCAATATATAAGATATTAATTCATTATTTGTATCTAAATCTATAATAAAAGAAAATTCTTCAACTTTTTGTTTGGAATTTATATCATCTTCTGAATTTTCAATATCACTTTGTACAATAATATCTTGTTTTTTATTTATTAATAAATTTAAGGTTTAAAAATAATTTTTTTTATTAATTGATATAAAATCATTAATATTATCATTTTTTATTTGAAAAAATTCAGAGTATAGATAAGTTTATTTATTAGAAATGAAAAAAACATTTAAACTTTGCTTACTTTTTATTATATAACATTATTGAATTAGTGAAAAAAATTTTTTTTTAGCAAATTATATGTTGATCAACGGACATATCACCTGACTGATAATAAATAATAAATAATTTTAAATTTTACCTTGATATAATAGATGTAACCAATATACAAGAATATATATATTATTAATAAATTCTTTTAAATGATGATTATAATTAGAAATCATTATAGATTTTCATGAACTTCATATTTGATTAATTTTTGTATCCAATCAGATTAATTTGATAAAATAATTAGTTACATTGACAGTTCATGATTTAAAAATATTTGTCAATTCTTTTACTGGTTTTAGAATAGATGTTATTTGATAACATTTGGAATAAAATTCTTTTTCTTGAATTAAAGATAAAACATTTCTGTTTGTAATTACTTCTGGGTGATTATCTAAAATCTAAAATAATAATAAATTATTATTTATTTTAAAAAAAATTTAAATTAATAAATTTAAAAATAAATTTTTTTATCTAATAAAATACAGATTTTGACTGTACTAAAGAATCTGTTGTATTATATAAAGTGTCCCATCTTGTTTTGCGATAAAATTGTATTTCTTCACCTTTTATTTTTATCACATATAATTGTTCTTTATAATATCCATGAGTAGCATGTAAATTATTAAAAAATCCTATAATACTATCACAATTAGAAATTATATTTTTTGATTAAATCAATTTCTGCAAAATCAGAAGTAATTAAATTAATTGCATGTGCCATGCATCTTAAATCTAAAATATAAGAATATTTTTCATGTGTAATACATCACACAACTCTTAAATTTGTATCATTATCTGTTACTACTGTTTTAAACTTTTCAATTTCAACATTTTACATTATTTTTTGAATTTCATTTGCTTAAATATTCCAGTTTGTTTTTCTTTATTATAAGTTTTAAGTTTTATAAGATATTCTTTTTCTTTGATATTGTAACTAAATTGAATCATGTCTTAAAGAAGTCCATCTATCAAGACCTTAAAATTGTAAAATAAAATTAAATATTATGAAATTAAATATATTTAATCTATTTAATATTTGCTAATAGTAAGATATTTTTCTTTTTCTAATTCTGTTTCTATTTTTTTTTCAATTCTAATTGTTTCTTGATCTAAGAGTTTACCAGAAAGAGTATTGTGAGAAGGTAATTTATATCCTGGAATAGCGATTTGAAACAAATCTATAATAAATGGATTTTCAATTGTGAAATGGAAATCCACAACATACCCATGCTTTTAAAGTTGCTTGATTAGTATTATTAAAATGAGATGTAATAGTTGGTTGTTTTATACTTTTTGATTTAATATTAGATCCAGAAACTTCTTCTAAAAAGTTTTCTCTCCAAAGAGCTTTTATATTATCAGGTACATATTCACAATTTCTAGCTAAATGAATTTTCATGTCTTTAGGATATCCTCTTGACCATTTTTCATTACACCATTTACATTGTGCTTCATAAAAACCTCTGCCTAAATCTGAACCTTTTATAAAATAATCCCAAATTTCATCATTTTTTTACCTCCCGAATGTTTTCTTTTTTTTTCTTTTGTTGTATTATTTTCTTTGATACTGTCTAAATCTTGTATTATTAAGGTATTTTCATCATTAAAAAATGGAATAGATGTTTCTCTTACATTTCTTTCATAAAATACACAACTACTTTCATTACTATTTTCATCTTCCTGTTGTAAATTTGATGAAATGTTCATATTATTTAAAATTATAATTAAAAAAAAAGGATTAATCAATTCTATTACACGTCAAGATTAATTTTATAATTTGTTTCACCAATATCAACTATATCACCAGCAAGTATAGTACTGCGTATCACTGTTGAGTGATATATAGAGCTTAATTTCAGTTTTTTGTCTGAAATTTTTTTTAAAGTTAAAAGGAAATGCAGCGTTTAAAGCCCGCTAACGAAATTTATAAACGTTTAAAGTGGGACAAAGAATGTATACCTGAGGGCGATTTCGTTGTTGGTTATGAGGACGTAAGTAACTTGGGTTATTACCAAAGTACCGTTTATTTTTTACTAATATGATATTTTATGTGTTAAAGAGGTTTTTGGGTATATTGGAAGCAACACTTGAAAATTTTGAGGCAGAAGAAATTCCGGTAAATTTTTTTTTTTGAAAAATTGATACACTCTTATCTGATAGTAGATTTGATATAAAATAGAAATTTACTTAAATTTTCAGTTTCATCGGATTCGTTATTTTAAAAATCTCGCAACTGGTCAAATTGTATGGGATCGAGAGAAGCGAATAGATCTTATTACTAGCAATTATTCGAATCCACATTCATCAGATGAATTACAAGGATCATCTTCTGATGATATTTCTATATCTTCGACAAAATCAAAAAAAAAATATCTTAAGCTTAGGAGAAAAAAATATTTACAGAAAACACTTGACGAGGCCAGGAAGCAGTTAGCGGAAGAAATAAGGATTGAAGAAGAACACGTTAAACAATATGAAGATAGAATGCGTGAGGTATTAAAAGTTTTAATGTATTCCATGTTTAAAGGATAAAATTTAGAACTCTTACATTAATTTTTGATATGTACAGGTGGAAGAGCGTTTAAAACGTTTTCAAGAATTACAAATATGATAGTTATCGAATTTTTCACTATAAATTAATTTAATTAATTTCACTTTTTATTTATTTTATTTTTGAGACACACATAATATAGATATTATTTTTTTTTATTTATTATATATCATCATTACAAATTCTTCAAGTTTTATAAAGTTTTATAATAATTTAATTGACAATAATCGATTTCAAATTAATTAATTTAAATACTTGTTTTATCTATTCTTTGAAATTCCATGAACATTTTCTCATTTATAAAATATTTATGGAATGGTGATTGGATCTCGGGAGCGAATGTTTTATTTCAACATTGAAAATCAATAAAAAAAAAAGCATGCCAAAACGTGACTTATGCTAAGATGCTTTTTTCTCCTTAAATATTATAGCCCTGTGTTTCACATTTTTTATTCTTTTTGTTTTTTTTATAATGCTTTTTTCCTAAAGAAATAGACATCATTGGATTATTGGAATTATCATTTATAGCATTAGTTGGATATATTTGTACTCTATTGAATTCACCCATAAAAGAGAATTTGCCTTTAATCTTTGGTCCAGAATTTTGTTTATTAAAAAATAAATCATCTAAAATTTTTGATTTTTCGCCAATAATTGGAGCATCAACTGAATTTAAATTCTCAATATTACTATTAGAATTCGGATTATTCTTTTTTGTTTTAATATACAACTTTATGTCATGTAAAACGGAATTAAATTCAACATTTGATATTTCAATTGATGGCGGTGGATGACAAAAAGGAAGTTTGCCCTATATCATAAATAAAATATAAATATAAATATATAAATTAAGATTTAAAAATATTTTAAATTATAATAAATTAATTTAACAAAAAGAAAAAATTAATAATAAATATAACTCACATTCACATAATCCTTTAATATATATCTTGCTGATCGTGCTTGATCAGGATTACCATGTCCTGATTCGAAAAATCCTCGAGCAGCTAATGAAAAATTGATAAATAATTGAGATATCTTGAATAATAAGATAATATACATATAACATATTTAACACACAAATTTCAGGCAAAACTTACTTGCATAGGCGATCAATAATTCTTCAGCAGTTGGAATTCCAGTACCTCCTTCATCGATTGATTTGATTTTAATGTTTATTCCATATATTGCTTCAAGGATACGTTTAGGTATTCGTTGAGCCACAAGTGCAACAGGTCCTGTGTATTCTCTCATTTGATCAATAGGTAAAACTCCATTACAAATCATATCGGCATTTGTAATTGCGAAATTAGGAAGAACTAATCCAGGACAATCACACAAGATCAATGATGAAGAAAGATTTATGGTTTGGAAATGCTTTGTTTTTCCAGGAGTTGACGAAACAGATACACGTTTTTCTCCGAGAAGTGAATTTATAATGGAGGATTTACCAACATTTGGATAACCCACCAGACCAATCGTTAATTTATGATTCGGATCAGCTTGCTCTTGATAATAAATAAATAAATAAATATATATATATTATAAATAAATAATTAAATTTGTCTTTTATTTAATATAATAAATAATGAATACAACAAAAAAAATTATACCTTTAGTCTCAGTTATTAAAGTTATTAAGAGAGATGACAACTCTTCTGCTGTTGCGATGCGAATTCTAGGATCAATAGAATCTTCAGTTTCATGTTCATTCTCTTCTTCACCTTTCTTATCTTTTTTATCAGTGGTTAGGATTTTATTTTCGGCTTGAATGATGCCTGGAGTTTGATTAATAATCTTTTCCTGTGAATTATCCTTAGAAAAATTTTCTTCCATTTCAAAATCACTTTCGTTTTCCTATTTGAAAATTTATCATTTTGGTATAAATTCCTTATAATATTTAAAAGCATTTTTTTTTAAAAGGTGCTCTGTGAACTTGCCTTCTCTTCTTTGCATTTATCAACTTCCTGTTTTGAATTTACGCTCTCAAGTGCCGAATAAAATATGTATTTAATTCCTTTGCTTTCTAAATAATCTGCCCAAGCTCGTCTATCAATATCAGAATTTTAAATACTTTTTAATGTTATAAAAATAAATCACCAAGAATATTGTTTAATCGTTACCGTTGATTAATCGTCAACAAATCTGCTTTGTTAATTAAAAGTAAATTTTTCTTTTTATCATTTACTTCTTTGACGTATTTTTCCAAATCCGTAGATCGAAAGAATAACGGATTTCTAGCATCAACAATTTGTGCAATCAAATGTGAACGTTCAATTACACGCCATAATTGTCTCCATACTTCAAGATTACGTTCGAATGGTGTTAGAATAATTTCTTCGTGTTCTTCGAGGCTATAACATAAATTTAAATATATCCCATTAAAAAAAGAATTACTATGAAAAATGATTATAGAAATTTAAAATCAATTATCATTTACAATGCAAGATCTCGTCTCCATTGTAAAAAGGAATTTCTTTCATTTTGTTCCAATTGTTCAGACGTAGTGGATTTATCCCATTTTGGCCTGAATATAAAATAATAATTAATCACATTTTTATTAGGCATATAATATCAGTAAAAGTTGATATTAAAATAAAATAATTTGTTATTGATACCTCCGAGGGATAACAAGTCTTTCCACATTGGCTTCATGTTTTAACAATATTTCTTTTTCTTTATCAGCACTGGGGAGGAAAGGATTTTGATAGTTGTTGGTAACTACTTTGATATTTAACCTTTCTAAACAATATTATATGAATTTTAATTAATTGATAAATAAATATATATATATTTTTTTTGCCTCTCAAGAATAAACTGATTAAAAGTCCTTGATATTTATTTACCGGCAGTGAATTGTGTTCCCGCCAATTGAGCTGTACTCAGAAATGCATCTAAATCTCGTTGTTGAGTTACCGATTGTAATTTTGTCCAACTGGCTCCATCATTTAACTCCGTTGTATGCTATCATTTATTAAGGTAAAAAAATTTAGTCAACTTTACTTGTTTTGATTTAAAACGAATTTATTAATTATATTAATTATATTAATTATAATCATTATACCAAACATGTATCTCCATTTTTTGGTTTAGTGTTCCCTTTAAATCTATCCCTTATGATTGCTTTTCCTAGTCTAGTATTTTTTTTCGATTTGGAATGCATTTTTTTTTCAAGAACTTGAATTAATTGTATTTGTCATAGAATTTTTTAGTCACGTGAAAGTCAATTAAATTCATTTGAACTTTTATAAAAATACAAAATTTAAAATTTCGATTCGAATGATATGAACCAAAAGAAAATTAAAGGATCACGTAAGAAACATGGGTTCAAAAAGAACAAAAAGAACAAAAATTATGGGTAAATTTATTATTTTTATTTATTTCAACTTATATATTCGTTAATAATAATAAATATAATAAAAGAATTTTATGAATAATAACAATTGAATATTACTAATAATAAATAAATTATTAGACCATTCGATGTTTTAGTTTTAGAAGACTTGGAACATAATCAAATAAAATCAATTTCTAGAGAAGTTGTTGGATTTAAAGAGAGCCATTTTTATGGCGATAGATTACCAAGAAAAAATGGTAATTATAGATTTTAAGATAGATATTATTTTATTTGATATAATAAAGATAATATTAAATTATAATTATTTTTTTTTATCTAGTCATTTTGAATTCAAGTCGGACAAGAAATGGAGCAGCACTTAAATTTAAAAGAAAGAATTGTTAAATTTAAATTTTTATTAGAAAGAAAAGAATTTATTTAAATAAAATAAAATGAAATGTTAATAATGCTATATTATTAATATAGAAATGAAAATAGAATAAAAAAAATACAATAAATGCACAAAATTAATTAAGTATATCTTTTTTATTTTATTTTATTATTATTCACTTTCTATTTTTATTTTTTTCACAATAATTCATTATTGAAATTTATAATAAATCGATTCTAATTAATAAAATAATTAAAATAATTTTGTTGCTCTTTAACTTTAACCATAAAAACCTACCTGTTATCATTAATTAATTATTATTATTATTATTATATCAAACTGTCAAATTGGTTTTAAATGAATAAACTTACCTTTACTTCAAAAATTCAGTTTTATTTTATACGGATAAAATTTAATAAATCATAACGAGGATCGAACATGTAAATTAATGATAGTCGGTTGAAGGACAGTATATTGCACAGAAATGATAAATGGAAAATTTGGATGTGCAATCAAAGCAACGTAACGCCTTGGAAAATTACAACAAATGTTTTAATAAAAATTTTTTTTTAAACAAAAAAGAAAAGAAAATAGTAAATATACTTACTTTGTTCGATTATTACTTTTATCTGGCAATCCAAATATTATTTTAAATTTAAATTCACCTGTTCGTCTTGAATAAAACTTGGCAATGTTTTCTTGACAAGGCCTGGGTCTTTAATTAAATCATTTGTTTACAAGTTATAAAGGAAATATTTTTGTGAATATTTTTGTCTGAATATTTTTTTGTTAACATTTATAATATATGTGGGTTATAATAAATAAACAATACCGGTCAAATGCTGATATAATCTTATCATCATACGCAAATAAAGAATGATCAAAATATGGACTTTCACTACAGGTTTGTGGACTGTACGGCAAAGATGCGAGAACACGTTTTACAGCTTGTGAAGGCCTAAAGGAAAACGTAAATATAGATTTGAATATTTTTAGTGAATCTGTGATAATCAACAACTATTATTATTATTATTATTATTATTATTATTATTATTCAAATTACCCTCCGTTTCGTGCATGTCTTATTGCATGTAAATGTTTTTCCAATATTTCTTTGGCGTAAACATTATTCGAGTAGGTAGAATTATACAAAAATGGTTGATTAAAAGCAACTCGCTGAAAAATTTCTGATGAACGCTTAAATTCCTCAAGAAATTCTTCTGATGCATTATCATAAACGGATATCACTTCTGTCTTCAAAAAATCATATATAACAAAAAATGATGTGTGGGCAGCGCTATCGTTGTGCTAATAAAATAAAATAAAATAAAATAAAATAATATAATATAATATAAATAATATAAACAATATATTTCTAATATTTCTAATATTTTATTTGACTACTAACACGTCCAGTCACGCAATCCACATTTCCGAATTTAATAAGAAATCTCTTTTCATCAATAAATTGCATTTTCCACATTACAAGTGATGTAAGCTGTCCAAATATTTGATAAAAATGACGCAAAGCCTGACCTCTATAAGAAAATAAATAATATTTAAAATTTAATATTTAATAATAATAATAATAATAATAATAATAATAATAATACCCGTCAGTGATATTATAAGCCTTTCTAAATAAGAACGAAAGCATCTTTTGTTTAATTCCACTTATGTGACTAGAGGCCTATTATAAAAATGTGAAATGTGATGAATAATAATTATTGAAATCAAATTTAAAATACTTTATTATAAATACCATTTCTGATATATTGGAATTATATCTTGAATCAATTACGATATTAGAGGATGGAACTTTATTTTCCGTTAAGTCATTACGTGTACAAGTGGATGCATTGTTAAAAAGGGATGATGATGAATTCTCATTATCTAATTCAATAAAATCTGATGATGCATTCTTATGATTATTCTGTTTAGTAAATGTTCTTTGTTGTATATTATATTGGAGATCAAAATCACGATAACGAGCCAGTACGAGCTCATCATCATCATAACTAAGCCAACCAATATCTTGTACATCAATAAAACGACCATCATCCTAAATATTTGGTGAAATATTTGTTATTAAGATTATCTAAGATTATCTTAAGAGATTATGATTACGATAAAAATCAAAATTACCTTGATGTGAAGAATATGAATTATCTGATTTTGAATTGACATGATAGAAAATAAATTACCCATAAGACTAACTCCAGAATGATATGATAAATGAATGTACTCATTTTTGTATGTGCGTGTGTCGCGAACCTATTCGATTGAATCAATTATATTATAAATTAATTATATTATAAATTAATTACATGTATAATGAAATGATTTTTACCTTTCCTGTTGATATTTCTACAAGGTAGAATGTGATATCATCAAAGTTCGGAATACAATTTAATGAACATGGATATAATCGTGCCTCTTCCGGTGTACAATTTGATTGAAGAGAGGATGCAAGTATCATCTAAATAAGATGGTTAAAAACGTTTTTCAAAGAATTCCGACAACAAAAATAATTAATGAACCGTTTTAAAAATATTTTGGTAATTACATATTTTTGATTCGTCGTGATTAGGCAGAAATCTTTACAGAGAAATTCGGATTGATCGGATGTAATACGTTGTTCGTACTTGATTGAAAAAAATTTATCAAAAGTGTTCATGTGTTAAGATGTAAGTAAGAATCTTGTTTCTCTATAAATTATTTAATTAATCAATCAATCAATAAATCAATCAATCAATCAATTAATTAATTAATCAATTGTTGCATATTTAAAATATTTAAAGGATATGCATTATCTGAATTGATTAAAGTATTGGCGTCCAAAGATGTCTCAAGATATGTGTATTCAAAATAGTAAAGTTGGATAAAATTTAGGTCTCGTGAAAAACATATCATACACTAAAAAGAAAATTAAAAAATATAATAAATTAATATAAATTAAAAATATATATCCAAGATACAATAAAATTCTATTTATTTTATTTATTTATTTTTTTTCATTTTTTCATTTGAAATTTTTATACGTACATTGCCATCTGGTGTAAATCTTTTTAAATAAGAATTAGGAATATTTACATTGAAAATTGTTTCGTTAGGATAAAAATAAGTATAAAGCAGTCTTTTATTAAATAGATTTGAAGAGAGCTGAATTTCTTTATTTAATAAAGTTTTATTTAAATTTCGCTTGTTCGCTTGCATTTTTTGTAAGTTTTTTTTTTTTTTTTTTGCTTTTCAAAAAAGTTTCCAAAAAGTGCAAAAAAGTGCAAAAAAGTGAAACAACGAACGAAACAAAATTGAAAAAAAAATTTTAAATGCCAAAAATGGATTTAATAATTATTCCACGTGATTAACTGATTTATTATTATTCTGGTCTTCTGATTTTTAAAGAATTAAAATGATTTGTGTCGAGGAGACGCGTTTTGTCTACTCGAATATTAACGATTCTTGAATATTAAAGTATTGAAAAACATCTTAATCCTATATTTGAGCAGTATTATTGTTATCTCTATTTTCACGCGTGAATAAATCTCGTTGAATAAAATATCATCGTAATATCGTAATTTTAACGATTTTTTATTATTTATGAGTAATAAATAAAATCGTATAAATTATAAATTGTAAAATATATATATATAATTAAAGTATAATTAAATGTGTGAGATGTAAATTGTTGCATAATTTAAAATAATTTAAATATTTTTAATTTATCCAATCTTAGTTTTTTTTTTTTGATTAGATATTTTAAATATCTAGATTAAATATAAATATATAAATAAATATATTACAGATATACAGTGGTGTGCAAAAAAAATGGCAATCATTTAAATTACGTTTATTCAACAACCGTTACACCAATTAACATGTAT